GGGTGGGGGGGGGGGGGGGGCGTACTCATTTGTTGCTTGCCGTAGTCATTTGACCATTGACCACGCGTCCCTTTCGAGACGGAGCACCGTTCCTACACCTACTAGAGACACCACCAACATTTGGGAGCTCTTTACGTTTCTGCCACAAACTCCATAAAAATTTCTTGCACATCTTATCCCCGTCCTCTAGGGCCTCTTGTGCCCACCATCTATCCCCAATTATCGCGATCGTTTTTTCGCTGTTGTCTAATTTACCAAACTTGTCCATGTCACACCCTCTCTGTCTCATTTCCTCCTCGAGATCCTCTCTTTCCTTCCTGTACAACTCACACTCCCCAACTATGTGGGGTCTACTCTCCTCCGATTTGCCACATGGACATGTGTGTCTATCCTCCTCTTCCTCTCTCCTACGGCTGGTATACCTCTTCCTCCGTTCTGGCAAGTCCAGATCGCCTACTCGAAATTGCAATTTCAGCTTTTTCGCATAGTCCAGGGGGCCGTCCAAGTATTTTTTCATCCCTATCCCTTCTTTCAACTTCCCGTATATCTCCAAGTGGTTTTCGCTTCGTACCTTTTTCCGAAGGGTTGGGGGGGGGGGGGGTACTCATAGTAGTGCATGCCGTAGTCGTTAGACCATTGACACCTCGCATCCCTACAAAGCCGGGACGGAGCACGCCGGGTTCTCACCGGACCAGGCTCTCACATCACCAAGCGCGAAGCTCCGTGAGGTATTCGGCGAGTCGCATGAAGGGTGCGCTGCATCCTGCTAAGGGTGTTCGGCATCTTGTGCTTACTTCTTTGCTTACGGATGACAGCTGCGTATGACTTAAATTATTTTCTGGTGCTTTCACTTCCAGAGACAGTTGGAAGCGCTGTGTAACTGCCTCGAGGGTGCTTGACCATTTTAACACAACATGGTGCGATTATCCCCTTTGCGCGGAGTGAGGGTTCTCCACCCCGCACAACATAATCTACTCGACCACCATTCATGGTTACCGCAAAAAAAAAAAAAGGCAAAAAAAAAGAAGCGGTAACCTGGTTGCCGAGCTCACGAAGTGATCGGCTTGTTTTACAACATCTCTGCCAAGCGACGAAAACCCAACCCCGATGGCAAACACCAGGGGGGGCGGCCTGTTTTACAACGTCGTTGCCAAGCGACGAAAACCCAACCCCGATGGCAAACATCGTTGCGCTACGGTGGGGGGGGAGGGTGGTTTAATTTCGACTCTTTTACGTACGATGCTTTCAACTGCGGCGTCGGTTCAGGTTACAAGCGTTTCTCCTACGGGTTGAAGAAACCAATCAGCAAACGAGAGCCAGTGACGCACCCCGTAAGACACCTTACCCGATTCTGACGGTGTGATTCTCCACTACATCACCCGCTCTAGATCCTACATCCTGCCTGCCCCCCCGTTCCCCACACCCTATCCGTGAAGGGAGAGGGGGGGGATCCACTCCATCACCGAGTCTGGGTCTGCTTTGCCTAGATTGATATTACATCACTCGCCGGTGACAGCTCGGAAGACAAACAACCGAAACGCTAAACGCCTTTGCTGTCGGCTCTCCGCCAGCAAAAGAAAACAACTTGACCAAACCCCCCAATGTGTCCAGAATAAAAAACGAAACAGCACGTTGCAGTGAACTCCACGGGCGTACGCCCCGCAACCATGCAAAGAGGCTTTAGGATCAGGGTTTGGCTTTCTCACCATCGTGAAGCCGTACAGCACGAACAGGCTCGCGTCGGCGCTGATGCCAGAGCTGCGGATTGCTCCCCCCACGTAGTCCGCGAGGCCGGAGTTGACGATCCCCTTGCTGAGACCCAGCGCGCTCCCGATCAACAGGAGGAGCGACCAGTCGACGAAGCCGACCGTCTTCTTCGCGTCCACCCATCCCCCGAAGATCAGGATGGCGCCGGCGGTGAACGCCGCTTGCACCTGCGGACACGAGGGCGGGTTCGAGCGACGCCGTAAATTCGACGACACGACGAGTAACCCGGGCGTGTATGTGTGCCTTCTGCATGTCCGAGACAGACCGCCCTCCTGCAACGGGCCCCGCCAGTGACTTGTGCGAGCCGTTCCTCGAGGTAAAATAGCTTTATCGGATCTTTTCGAAGGCGCGCCTTAAAAAGGAGCCGCTGCGACACCCGCGCATACGCCCAAGGCGGGATCGAGGCAAGAACAAAAAATAATACTCGATCACCCCCAACTTGTTTCAAAGTCCACGTGCGACGCAAGGGGGAGCTATCCGGCGTCTGGGAGAGACAACCACTGTAGACAACAAAAGAGCATGACGATCGAACGCCAAGAGCACCCGTAGCTCTAAAACCCACCATTTCCGCGTCGAGCAGCACCCAGACCAGCATGCCCACGAACGCCAGCAGGGGCAGGTAGTCGTAGTACCGCACGGGCTTCGGCACCGACCCGACCTTGGTAAGCAGGAAGAAGTCCCTGGAAGACCCGTACTTCTCCATGAACTCCTCCTTCGCGAGCACGAGGACCACGTCCCCGGCCTTGAAGGACGTCTCCGTCACGTCCTTCTCGTCCTCGTGGATCAGCGTGTTCTTCCTCGACCTGCGCATCATCGGCGACCGCGGCGTGCCCCGCGAAGCGGCGGCGGCGGCGCGGCCGCTCATCGCGGAGACCAGCGAGCGCGTCTTCGGCCCGGCGGACGTCGAGATGGAGCCCGTCGGGGACACCTCTCTGCTGTCCGGGTTAAGCGCGGGCTCGACGCCTTCCTCGAGGAACACCTCGGGGGCGTCCATCGCCGCCGCCGCCGCCGCCCGCGACGACTTGAAAGACGAACCGGTCGGCCGCGTGGAATCGGATGGGGGAGCGGCGGCGACCGAGGAGCCCGGATTCGAGGCCTCCGCCTGCCCCCGGCGGCGCACGGCGACGACGCTCACGTTGTAGTAGGCGGCGAACTCCGCGTTGTCGCGGCTGGCGGAGCGGCCCACGAAGTGGTTGTGTCCAGAGAGGACGATCTCGAAGAACTCCGTCCCGTGCCCGGGAAGGTCGAGCGCGCTCACGTCCAGGAACTTGAGCCCCTTGAGGCCCTGGCTGACCGTCACCGCCTGGAAGTCGATCATGGTCGCCTGCGAAGGGAAACCGGGGCAGTGGTAACGACACAGCAGAACGGATTAGCGGGGCCTATTTACCAATGCCGGGGGATGTTTCTGCAACGAACGCGGCGCTCAAAAAACCAGGAGGCTACTACTGCCGTGATGATCCTACACGCGTCACACACTTCTTCTCTCGCCTGTGCGCAACTCAGGAACAGCACGTCGCCGGCTTGAACGGGCTCCGCGGGAGACACCGGGAAAATGTCGGTGTAGGTCTCTCCCGCGGCGTTGAGTGACCCACCGTTCGGTTGCCCTTGGCCGGCCGCGACGTTGCCAGCAGCGGTCGCCGATGCGTTACCGTTCGGCGTGGCGTTGTTGCCGTTCACGGCGGCGATGGCGTTCGATGAACGCTGTGCGTCCGCGTCGCTGACCCAGCGCTTCCGCGAGAACCTCCCGGGCTTGCGGGCTTCGGAGCCGCTGACGTCCTCCACAGCTGTGCCGGCGAGGGGCGAGATGCACTTCTCTTCCTGGGCAAGGTCGTCCTTGGTGCCCCACAAGCACTCCGCGCGCATGCGGTAGCTGTACATGGACTCGGCCCTGAAGGTCTTCTGGTTGACCTCCATGATGGCGTTCACGTCCTGTTCGTCGTGGGTGGCGCCCTCTTTGACGCTGCTGGAGTAGAGCGCCGACGTGGAGAAACCCAGGCTGGCGTTTTCCCCCAGGCTCTGGCTCATCTGGCGCAGGATTCCGGAAGATATCTTCCGCCGGATCTTGATGAGGGTGTCCTGAGGGAGACCAAGCCTCGCGAGGACGAGCCCCGCAGGCTCGCCCTTGTACGGGAAGTCGTCCATCACTTGGACCTTGATGGGCGACCAGCGAGGAGTCACGTGGGAGGGCGGGGCGGGGGGGTGGGGGGGGGGGGTCAAGACCCGGGGTCACGACGCGATTTGCATGGACCCATGAGCGACACGACCATTATGAAGTTGAACCAACTTGTGCCGACTGTATCTACTAGAGAACGGCAGGAGAGCAAACAGAGAGGTGATGCACACGCTCGGAGAGGCAAGAGGTTCACAACCGCCCGCCAGAGCCAAGAGGCCAGCAAGCACATGTAGATAACTCTGCGTGTGATTAAGTGCCGTAGAACAATCGGTTGTGTGGCCGGATTCAAGCGTGCAGAGCTACAAGTAGCAGCGCTGCTTCTCTCAAGGCGAAAATAAGCTCGAACGACAGGGGTCAAGGGAAGACCACCGAACTTCTGGTTTCTGTCCGTGATTTTTCTTCGAGCGGGACCTTGCAGTTTCACCCTTTTTTCTTGTTGCGGACCAGCAAATTGCAGACCATCCGAGCAGCAAAACACAACGAAAAAGACCACCAACATTCTTTTGTTCGTCCGTCGTTGACCCCTTATTCCTTGACTGCTGGTCAACATGACTGCCGCGCGGATGCGGCAGCACACACCTCGGTAAGCAGCTCCTTGGCGCGGTCCCGGACGTATCGGAAAAGCCCACCTCGTGAAGGCAGCACGCGAGGCGCGAAGAGCACCAGGTACAGCATCCCGACGACTCCCAGAGGGACCCCGATGTACCCGGGCTCGAAGAAACCGATGGCCTCGATGCTGGGGTCGCTTAGCTTCTCGTCGAGGACGAGGCCCTGCACGACCAGGTTGGTCGACGTCCCGATGACGGTCAGCAGTCCGCCCATGATACCTGCAGCCACCCCCATGTAGAATTGGCCATCAACCGCACATTTGGGCGAATTTAAGGACAGGGCAAACATCAGTCTTGCATGATGGCCACTGGCGTCAGCCTGCATCTCGCATAACTATCAGAGTAGCACACCACAGACAAAGCCCGCCGTGGTGTTCACGATTCGTGTTGGCGTGTTTAGCATATGCATATACTTTGAAGTATATGAATAGTATGTACTACTGTGACTCACACGAGTAGGACAGCGGGATTAGAAAAATAGAAGGGGAGAACCCGCGAGCGCGGGCCCAGTCGCGAGTAATAGGGATGAGGAGCGCGACCACCGGCGTGTTGTTGAGGAAGGCCGACAGGACGAAGCAGAGAGACATCATCCTGCCTAGCCCCGCCTCCAGGGAAGTCCTAAGGCCGAAGACTCGACGGGCGGCTTTGTCGGCAAGCTGGGACTTCTCCACACCCTTAATCACGACAAAGAGGGCGCCGACCGCAAGCATCCCCGCGTTGCTGAACCCCGACAGTGCTTCTGTTGTGTTCACCAGACCCACGTTCCAAACCAGCACCAGGCAGAAGAAGACCTTTGTCGGTGAAGGCGACAAACGACCACAAGGACATGGAGGGCCTCCATTAGGCAGCTATCTCTTGACCGTATTTGCGGAGCATGGAGGACCAGAAGCAAAGCGCCCAAAATTGCTGTGCGGAGGGCATGCACTTCGGCTAGGAAGAAAGCGGAAAGCAGCTACGCTTCGGGGTTGGAAAAGGGAGCGTAACGTCTACATTACAGCTGCGATTTCAAGCGGTGCATAAGGCAGGGTACAGGGTGAAGAGGGGCGGTAGAAGGGACGATGCACGGAAGAGCATTTCTGCCTCGGACCACAGAGAACAGCAGGTGTACCAAGTACAGAGACGAGCGAGACTCCAACATGCGTTGTAAGAGCTCTTACAACCACGTTCTACGCACCACGGTCTCCGGCGTCTTCAATCCCACGAACAAGGATATGAACATGACGGTAAGCACCACCCCCATGAAAGCAGCCTCGGCCGGGCTTCCGGAGCTGTCGCTGCTGTCCGCCATGGTGTTCTATCGGCAGGTCCCAGGGGCCACGGTAGTACTGCTGTCTGTGTAGTTGAACACTACGGTCACCAGACAGGTTGTTCGGCGACGTCGTTGAGTGGGTGGATGAATTGTTGCGTGTGTCGGATATTGATGGCTCTCTTCGCTCCCAGATTGAGAACAAAGGGATAGGCGTCACCGAGCCATGGCCGGACGCGTTTGTGCGCCCGACAGCAGTGATCACGCTCTCCAACACGAATTGCGGGCTGAACGCGGGAGGATACGCTGATCTACGGAGAAACCTCCACGCGGAATCATGATGGGTAGATGCCAAGATTTATTTCAATATTCGCGTTCCCCCCACGCTTGTGCCTGCCACCTGCCACCGCGCTCCCACACCTAACTTCTCTTTTTCTCTAAAAGTTGACTGGAAGAATGAAGATTGTGTGCGCAGCATTGTGTGTCCAGGCGGTCGGCGCCTTCGTCGCGCCGTCCGTGGTGAAGTCCGGTGAGTCGTTGGTCTAGCTCGTGAGTGCGAAGTGGATCGGAATCGCGCGCATTTTGTCATGTTGACGACAGCACATCCATATGCGTACGTGTGTGTTTGTTTTCGCACCAAAAACGGGCATGCACTTCGCTTGTTGTTGGCTGAGAACATGAGCGCTATGGTGCGCACTCGTGAGGCACCAACGCGCAGCAGGCTCTAGATCACACTCACCTGTATCGCTCGAGCGAGTACCGAGTGTTGCCTGACCCCTGCTGTCTCTAAACATGAAGGAGCGTGAGAAAGAACACACCCTACCGCTCGACCGCACGTGTGTGCGTACGCATACGATAGCATTTTTTTTGTGTGTCGGCATGAGGAGTCTCTCATCTCGCCACACGGCGGTACTGCTGCTCTGTCTGTCTGTCTCTCTCCCTTTACGCTCTGCTCCGCAGGCCTGGCCAGGGCGTCCTCCAGGTCGGCCGCCCCCATGCAGATGATGGCGGACGCCGTGGTGAAGAAGCTCTCCGTGGGCGACTTGAAGGATGAGGACCTCAAGGGCAAGAAGGTGCTGGTGCGATGCGACCTCAACGTCCCCCTGAGCGACAAGGTGATCGGCGACGACACCCGCATCCGCGCGTCCATCCCCACCATCGAGCACCTCCTCAGCAAGGGTAAGCTCGCCGGCCGGCCATCTGTTCGGTGTTAGCGTGGCCTGACTGGTGGTTGAAACCAGTCCCCAGCAGTGATGTCGTCGCAATCTGGGTGTCGCAGAATCTTGCCGAAGTCTGGCTGTGACGTCCCTTTGTAGCTTTCTTTTTGCCCCTTCTGGGCACGCACGTTCGATCGTTTTCTGTTGTGTTACATGGACACACCGGCCGGTCACGCACTATTACTCACAATTTGGTGCTGCCGCTGCCGTTGTGACGACACAACCATGACTCCTCAACAGGCGCACGAGTCGCGTTGTCGTCGCACCTCGGGCGACCGAAGGACGGCCCGGAGGACAAGTTCTCCCTTGGGCCCGTCGCTGAGCGGTTGACCAAGCTCTTGGGCAAGGACTGCAAGATGGCGCCGGACTGCGTGGGCGACGAGGTGGCCAAGATCGCCGACGGTCTCGGCGACGGGGAGGTGATGCTCCTCGAGAACGTCCGCTTCTACCCGGCGGAGACTAAGAACGACAAGGGTGAGAGGAAAAAACAGCATTCATTCACCCTCGCAAGTCGCACATGAGATTTGTAGATCGCGCTTCTTGTACTCGGGTCATGTGTACACACAGCCGCAAAAGCCCACTCGCGCAGCGGTTGATGGGGCTTGAGGCGCCGCAGGAGGTAGACACTCGGCGTTTTAGCCACGAGATAACCCGAAGACTATCGACCAATCCTACATGTGTATTTGCTACTTCACTTCGTACTTCCATGATCCGTGTTTTTTTTTGCTCCCGCGACACACGTCATCCCCTTTTGTTCATGTTTGGCGCGGAAAGTTTCTCTCCACGTCACCCAAATGATGGAACATGTGTCATTGAACATGAACATGAGCGTCTAGGCTGTGTCTGGTTGTCGCGCTGGTGTAGTATTTGGCACCGTGAGCCTTGACGAGAGTGCCGGTCGACAACACAGCAGCAGTAGCACATGACCTTATCCGCATGTTGTTAAGTACCTGGTACTGCTGTTGTAGGTGATTTCAAGAACGCGCGCACGTGGACATATCACGGGCGATGAGGTGGCTCATGTTTCAATGTTTTATGCTCCTCATGAGCGGAAAGAAGCAAGAACGTCACACAAGAGAAGATCGAAAATTGCCCAGGCCAGCCTGCCTACACTGCTGTTGACCACTACTGCTGCTTCATAAACTATTAATATCTATGGGTGATCCCCGTGTGCTGGGCGCTTTTTCTTGTGCCGGTACATGCACTGCTGTAGTGTGGCAGTATGCGAGAGAGTGGTGCCTGCTGTTGTTGCGAAATTTAGGCTGCGCTCATACCCGAGTTGTTGCGGTTGTAACATACACGGGAGACTAGTGCTTCCAACACTCATACATGGACAATACAAGTACCAGGTCCCTAGATACGCAGGCCCGGCTCAAGATACAGCTGCATAGATAAATCACACCAAACTCCTCGCCCACCCCTACACCAGCTGCCCAATACTGCTGCTGTTCACTACCACTTGATTCTCAACTTTGATTGGAATGGGCTTGCCTTTTTGGGTGACTTGGTGTGCACATGCACATGCTACATACAGCAACAACCGTAAATGAGTCACTCTTCGCAAGCCCCGCCCACCCCTTGCACAACTGCCCAATACTGCAGCTGCTGCTGTTTCTTTTGGCGGCTTCTTCACTCTCAACCCCGTACACGCACGAACGTACAGTAGTCACACTAAATAGCCTGGCCTACCCCTTGCACGGCAGTAGTAGCCCCTTATACTCTGCTGTTGTTCCTTCCATGCCCTACAATGTCACCACTCTCTAACCTCGAACGCCTCACACGTGCTCGAAACACATGCAGACTTCGCGGAAAAGCTCGCCGCGCCGTTCGACCTGTTCGTTAACGACGCCTTCGGTACCGCGCACCGCGCCCACTGCTCCACCGAGGGCGTGACGAAGTTCCTCTCGCCTTCCGTGGCGGGGTTCCTGCTGCAGAAGGAGCTCGACTACCTCGCGGGCGCCGTGCAGGAGCCCAAGAGGCCCTTCGCCGCGATCGTCGGTGGCTCCAAGGTGTCCTCCAAGATCGGTGAGATTTTTGTTTATCGAGAATTGTCAATCGTATGTACATGCGATTCACTCCTGAAAATGACAGCCCGCTCGAGATAATACCACAACAATAGTCGAACGGTATGTGCTGGAGTCTGAGTAAATTTTGCTGTGGCATGTATTCGACGTTTTACGGGGAAGTGGCGATGCCTCTTTGGTCGTACTTATTATTTTTTTATCCCCTCGAAAGAAACTACGGAAACAGACTATTTACCCGTTGGAGATAAAACGTGGTTTCGTGCTGGTCTGGGTTGTTGAGGTTTGCAATAAAAATGCGTGCCTTACGACATTGTTCTTTCTCACTTGGGGGCACGTTGCTGGGCGCGCGTCTGAGTGAGGTCCAGCGTCGGTGCCGTCTTGATGTATATGTTTTCCGGCCTGAACCTAGCTCTAGTCTGAAAAAGGATGCATGAAAACACGAGTACACACGAGGGAGACATGCCGACGACGACGGGACGGCCTACTGCTGTGATCATGAGTGCTGTGCTAACGTAACACTGCTCTGCGTCTTTCTTTTTTTTTCGTCGTTGCACAGGTGTGATCGAGTCTCTCCTCGCTAAGTGCGACAAGCTCATCATCGGCGGTGAGTTAGCTGCACCCTCTCGAAAACTGAAAATTGTGCAGCCGGTTGCGTTTAGGATTTTTGCTGCAATTGAACCTTAGGGCTGAGTAGCATCGAAAGGGAGGAAAGCGGTCATCCGCTTACGCGTTCAAGGTGAACCGGGCAATCCGCAGCGGGAATGTGCTACTTGAGCCCTGGTCATGAGCGCACTTTCGAGAGGCAATTCCGCACGTTTAGGTGACAGTGCTCGAGTTCATCAAAGGGCAAGATTTTAAGCCAAAACACGCATTAAAATTGACCTTGCTGACGGCCATGCTTCCCCCGCACTCGTCGAAGAGAACCAGCAAGTTGATACAGAGTGCCCCACCCCTACCCCCCACTCCCCCCGCCCACCCACCCCCCTGCTGCAGGCGGCATGGTGTTCACCTTCCTCAAGGCCCGCGGCCTCGGCGTTGGTTCCTCGCTCGTCGAGGAGGACAAGCTCGAGCTCGCCAAGGAGCTGGAGGAGAAGGCCAAGACCGCCGGCGTGGAGATCATCCTCCCCTCGGACGTTGTCGTCGCTGACGCCTTCGCCGCCGACGCCAAGACCCAGGTGGTGAAGGCCGACGCCATCCCCGACGGCTGGATGGGGCTGGACAACGGACCCGAAGCGACCAAGGAGATCCAGGCCGCCCTCAAGGAGGTAAGAAAGAGGAGATTGTGTTCGTCGTATGTAGATGTTGGGTTGCTACAGTAGGTCCAGATCGCTCTCAGGGATTTACGGACAAGTTTTTCTTGCATAGTCTCGTTTGTAGGTGGACGTTGCTCCGGTAGTAGAGGGAAAGGGGGCCGATCCAGGCGTCCTTTTTTTATTTTTTGTGTTTGGGTGTAATTTCGTTGTCCTGACCCGTGACCCCGTTCGTTTCAACTCCCTCTCGCTGATTCGTGTGCAAAAAATTATAAACACAATATATTTGCAATATAAATGGAGTTGTTGTGTTGTGTTGTGAAAAAAAAAAAAAACAGTGCCCCCAAGACCGATGCCCTTACATACATTTGCATATACTAAATTAAAACCTTTTTTCCGTCTCGCCGAATCCGTGTGCCAACAACCTCTCCTCAGTGCAAGACCGTGGTGTGGAACGGACCGATGGGCGTGTTCGAGTACGAGGCATTCGCAAAGGGAACCTTCGCCATCGCGGATACCCTGGCCGAGATCACCTCGGAGGGCTGCACCACTATCGTGGGCGGCGGCGACTCCGTGGCGGCGGTAGAGAAGGCCAACCTCGCCGACAAGATGTCGCACATCTCCACCGGCGGCGGTGCCTCGCTCGAGCTCCTCGAGGGCAAGGTGCTCCCCGGTGTGGCAGCGCTCAACGACGCTTAATTGGAAGGTGTCACTCTTGAGATGTAGTCAGGTGGTGGTGGTGGGCGTTTTTTTTTGTTCATGTGCGTGGGAAGAAGTAGAAAAGGACGCCCCCTTTCTGTTTGGACGAGGAAACCCCCACCTCTTTTAGGTGTGTTCGTTTCATTCGGTCTCTTTGTCGTGGGAGGAGCCGAACGGGAGGGGACTTGGCGCGATGCAGTCTTGCGATGGCTGCTAGCTATAGAGCTAGCTGTGTCTAGAGGCGTGGGTGACTTCTTCTTCGGGAGTAGACTCCCTGAGGTCACCGTCGCGAAAATCAATTTTGGGAGGGGAGGGGGGCAGGTGTTGGTGGTGAAAGCCCGGAACACTTGAGTGTAGCTAGCTGGTCTGACTCACCAGACCCCCGTTTTTTACACGGATTTAGCTTTTTTTAGAGATGATGGGGGGGAGGTATTAGATTCTGTTGACCAGGCAAAATAGACACGTTAAAAGAACGACACTCGCTCTCTTGTTAAGGATGTTCCAGAGTGGGGGCCCCACTGGGAGACCGGCCATTTGGCTTTTCAGATTCGATTTGTAGATCACGGAATCGGAACTCAAGTGAAGCTCGCATGCGTGCACATGAGGTTGAACTGCTCGGGTTAGTACAAACAACACACCGAAGGTTCCGCGACATCGTTCTTATTTTTTTGTTGTGGACGGGCTCTCCGAAGTCCTTACTCCGAAGGAATTGAGAAAACCTTTTTTTTTACGCGAAGGGCGCGCGCATTGTCGGAGCGCGCACGGGCGAGGTCAACCTTTTGTCCTGCGCGTGCCATGTGGCCGCAGACACAACGGGCGTCGGAACTGTGACCAATGACAAAGAGAAACACAAGCTATACATGACGCGTCCGAAGATTTGATCCGCTTTGTTCAGGTAGAGAAACAAACATGTGTTCGATTGGTTGTGTGTCTTGTGTCTTTTGCTTCACTCTGGTTGGCGTTCTCGTACGACGCAGATCATGCCCCCTGAGAGTGTGCCCACCCGCCTAGAAACAACGAATAAAAGAGGCACGAAAGGGGAGAGCAAGACAACAACACCCCGCACTAACATCGATGCCCTTGACACATGCTACACTACTATTCTCTCGCTCGCGCTCACGTGACTGGTATGATAGGGCATTGTGCGCAGGCTCTTTCATAGGCGGAAACGTTTGCCCTGGTTCCGAAACGAGACCCTTGGTTCAACGCCTGAAGTCGTGTGCATGCGTACGTGCTAGTTTAGCCCACGATCTAGCAGCTGAACCAACAACGGGCACCGAACCCCCTACCTCCTGTAGCAAAGGGTTCGATTTTTTTCCTCTAGGAGACCGATACGGTCTTAGAGAGGTTTCACAGTTGTTGTCATAAGCAGGGGGGGCTGATCGGGATTATCATCCACCCCCTTCTCACACCTGCAGCATCGCATACCATCTCAAGAAAAAAAACTCCTCGAGGACCAGCACGGTTGCCCGAGGCAAGCTGCGATACAATTTCCAAAAAAATCAAAAGCACAATGAAATCCGCGGTTCATTCACGAAGAGCGCCGGGACCACGGGCCAGTATTTTGCTGGGTGTATTTTGCTGGGTGGGGCGTGTTTTCCATCTGGGGAGGCCTCTTTTCGTCAACGGCGCCGAAGCAACGCCACTAACTAACGTCGTGCCGTGATGAGCATGGATGTATGTGTGCACGCGAGCAAGCAAGCAAACTCCAGCCACCAGACGCGCATCGCCCTCTTGCTCTGCACGAGGCACGGATGGATGTTGTTACCTCCTCCGTGTGGAAACAAAAGAAGGTTGTGGTAACATTTGGAAGCGGCTAGTCTTTTCTGTGAGGTTATGTTGACTTTCTGAAAAGAAGAAGGTTGTGGTAGCATGGTTGTTGCTGCCATTCACATTCCATTAGCAGCATGGTATAAACACCATCATCATCCTGTGAGCTCCATATATCCCACCTCTTCCCCCTCCGCTCTTCTCTTCCAATGGCAAAATAAACGAACTCTCGTGTTGGTTCGCTCGTGAATTTCTAGCTAGACCTGTCTAGAAACAAACGATGAGTACAAAAAAAAAAAAATGTTAGGGTTGGTCGTGAAAACAATCACCCGGTCACCTCGTCGGTTGGTTGTAATGGCCTCGAGGAGCAGAAATACCACCGATCGATGCTTCAAACTCCGGGGACACGCTACCTGTTACAGCGTCGAGGGTGATGTGAATACATACGCAGTCTTCCCCACCCCCCCTGCTGGCAAAAAGCGAAACGCCCTTCAATCGCATCTTGGTCGCGCG